TGTCTCGAGCAGATGGCTTTTGTTCGATAAAGTTGAGCAGGATTTTTAATAAAGCGTACAGAATTTCCATCAGCAGATCATATGCATTATGTTCTTTTGTCTGTTGATGTGTACGAAGATTATGAGTAGTTAGCCAATGTAATCTGGCCTCATCCCAGCCGTCCGATTCAACTAATGAAAACGTTTTACGGAACGAAAGGAACGGTTCGTTGTTGGAATTTAAGATGATGTTGTTTATCATTGGTTCCGTCTGAAACATTACATAAATGGCAAATAGAGGAGAATCAATATTGCATGTATTGGTTACGCAATATCTTCGACCTGAAAAGAATCATTTTGTACTTTATAAATCAAAGCCTAAATAAAACGAAATCGAGCCTTCAAATATTTTATTCTTGATACCAAACGTAGGCCAGGTGATGGGACATTGTTCAATCATAACGATTTGATGAAGTCGACGAGGCGAGGATGAATCAAACGTTTCAAAAGTCGTTGATCTAAGATTATTTTCAAAACTTTCTTTTTGAAAATTTTCGACTTCTGATGCTTGTTTTATTTGCTTTGATGTTGATAAAGTATTGGAAGAACTATCAAATGTTACACTTGAAAATATATTAATTGGAGACATTGATACGTTCTTTTTGGGACCACTCTTGGAGGTTTCTGGAAACATACTTTGAGCTATGAAAAATCCAATTATACCATTCGATAGAGCTCATCAAGTTGTACTTGGAACACAAATGGAACACTTGGAACATGTTATTGAACGAATCGACGGTACAATTACTATGCTAATTGGCATTGTGGACCAGTATTCAGGGATTTCTGGAAACCTAGCTTGATCTATGGAAAATCTGAATACACCATTCGATAGAGATCATCAAGTTGTACTTGAAACTCCATTGGAACACTTGGGACATGTTCCTGAACGAATCGGCGGTAGAATTACTTGTCAGTTTGGCATTTTGGACCAGTATTCAGGGATTTCTGGAAACTCAGTTTGAGCTATGGAAAGTCTGAATACACCATTCGATAGAGCTCATCGAGTTGTACTTGGAATCCAATTGGAACACACGTAACAAGTTCCTAGACGAATCGGCGGTGTAATTACTATGCTGATGGGCCATTTCTCATGCTTTTGGACCAGTATTTTGAGGTTTGCTAACACATAGTTAGAGCTACGTAAAATCCGAATATACCGTTTGATAGAGCTCATCGAGTTGCACTTGGAACACAAATGGAACACTTGGAACATGTTTCTGAGCGAATCGTCGGCAGAATTACTCGAATCGGACGCTAACTTCAGCTACGTATAATATACGACTAATATATCTTACATTGTCTTTGAATTTTTCTGTTTCTTCTTTTTTCATATATCAGAATGAAGTCTTGGATAATCATATAAAAGAAGTGTCATATAGTGTTAGATTGTCTTCGAAATGTTTGAATAACTCCTAAAAGTATTCTATTAAGCTAAATATTTTAATAAAAATTCAAATTACTTGAGCATTAAGATCATGAAAGATCT